TGACTTCATTGATTGCATTCCAGATGACCGAGGGATAACGCTTTGAGGTGGCTCGGCAGCTAGGAAGGATAATAATGGTCGTGTTGCTCTTATACTTGTTTGCCGTATATGGCGGGGAGTTGATGGGGGCATTCACGTGTTCAATATCAAGGTCGGCGAGTGACCAGTGGACGGGTTCTGGAGTCGTCTGTATGATCCAAGCGGGCAGTGGCATGTTTTTTGCTCCGTGGTTTGAGATGTTAGGCTCGCATGGAGATGTCACATACTCACCTAGAAACTCCTAGATTGGCGCAGGCAACCCTTAGACTCGACTAAGGCGCTTCTTTTGCTGCGTGGCGAGGGGCCGATCAGCGACTCGTCTGCGTTCATGTAGAGGTTGGTGGCCAAGGGAGCCACAAGGTGAGTTAATGAAGCATTGCTGGCGATCGATTGAAGCGGCCTGTGGCGTTACTGTGCCACTCCCCGGGTTTTAGGATGGTGACCGCAGTCGTGCTCTGGTGGCGAGATGTTAACTACTTCGCCTGGTATATTGAAGGTCGTGAGTTCGATCCCAACCCTGACGCCTGCTCTATATTTGGAGTTTGTGTTTTCTCTCTCATCATTATCACGGTGGCTCAGAGACGATAACTACCTCACCTGGTATACTGGAGGTCGCTCTCTCTTTACTTCCGCTTTAAGTTTTTTACAGTTCGACTGGGGTTGCAATGCAAATGCAAAAGAATCCGTCATTCGAGCGCATCCGTCGAGCGATCCACACATCGGCGGAATGAGGGCTTCGTATGGTGGGCTTGTTTTCTGCTGCGTTGAAGGAGCACTATTAGTATGAAGCTCTGTTAGACTGAAGCACAATTAGTCAATACCTCATAACATGGCAGCGTGGGGTTTAACAGCAATGCTTTCTCCGTCAGATTCAGAATCATGGACCATGGTACAGTGAGCGGAACAAAACATGGAAAGTGCAGAAAGGGGCATGCATGGGGGAGCGGTGCATGCGTGGGGTGACGCCGAGAGGCAGAGAGAGGAACACGTGGACTAGAGAGCATACGCAATTCGTCGGAGAGATCACTTTGACCGGCCCGACGCGGCGACGGCCGCTGGTCGAGACTCGTGACGGAGTTACAGCTAAAGGAGGGATCGCTCCCCGAGCGAATCCATTCACCGTGGAGATGGAGCTGTGGAATCGGCTCGTGCGCTGGCGCTAGGGGGATCGTGCCGTCAGAATCGAAATCTTCATTTAGATTACGTATCTCAAGAGAAGGCGACGTATCTTGGCGAGGCCTTCATCCAGCAGTGGATAGACCGTGGCCGATGATGAAGATGTGAGCAATGGTTGGTCGCGTTGCTGCTCTGGAGACCGGGAGATCGTTGTTCGGTGTTTGCTCGCCAGTTCGGCGATGGCTTTGGCCGTGATTTCCCACTGAACGGAGCGGGCTCACGTGAAGTCTGCTGCCACCTTTCCACTCCGTGTTTGATAGGAGAGGTGAATGCGTTGTTGCTGCTGTGCAGCTGTGCACACATCGTGCCCACCTGTGCACGGGTGCCAGGTTGCGTGCGTGCGTGCACGCGCTCGATCATGTTAATGCTCACATTCTTATGCAGTGCAAGCCGCGTTTTTTTATTCTCTTGGAGAAATACAAGGGTAGCGTTCGTCAACAAAAGCCATCCTTGCCCCTCCGGTTCCACCCTCCCTCCATTCCCCCTCGAGGCGAAGGTTGGCTGCTGCCACCACAGTAACCCTGCCACCACGGTAATCCCACACATTCCAATCAAATTCCCCATCATCCTCCGTTTCCATCCAGCAACGTCGTCATCATCATCATCATCATAAACAACATCGTCCATGATCAATTGACTACTGGATGAAGACTTTCACGAGCCGTCGCCATCTCTCACGATCTCGCGATATAATAATCCACCCAGCACGAACCGATTTTATCGCTCCATCTCCTCCGTGGACGGTAAAAATGCGCCTCCCGGGCGTTCCGCTCCCTTTCCCGTGCACTAGGGTCACCGCGGTGTGTCGACACCAACGGTATCTCGTACGCTAGAAGCGCCACCATGGATCTAATCGCTCGACCAGCAACGCAGCGTCCCTGTGTCGTGATTGTTACAACAGCGGTCGCCAACCTTTTTGTCGCCAGGGACCGGTTTCGTGGATGACAATTTTTTCATGGATGGGGGGGGTTCATCATTTTGGGTCTTTCCCCCTCTTTCAAAGAAGCTCTCCAGCGACGTTTGTTTTTTACTCATTTTGGCTAGGGGTTAGAGCTTGTGGGCTGACCAACACTGTGACTGAGACAAGTGTGTGCAGTGCGGGAAAGAGGCGCGGATGGAAGTGGTAAATAAGAAAACAATGGGGGCGGGCCACGTGCGGCCTCACCGCTCACCTCCTGCTGGTCGGCCCGGTTCCTAATAGGCCACGGAACGGTACCGGCTTCGGGGGGACGTTTTCATTTGTTAGCCACCTCGCTTGGTGTACAGGAGGTCGTGGTTTTGATCCCGACCCTGACGTATGCTGTATATCTGGAGTTTGCGTGTCTCTCCCCGCGTGGTCGCGTAGACTTTTCTCCGGGTCCTCCGGTTGGCTGCTGCTATTTCCACACGATCAGCCACTTTGTTGAGCTATCATTTGGTGGACAGGTTGCTTCTGGAAAAGAGCTACGTAGCTCAGTGGGCCTTACCTGATAAATTAAAACTAGAATAGTTTTCATTTTAGTTCCCCCCCCCCCTTTCCCGCCCATATTTAATTTCCTGACACTTTTAAGGAAATAACAAAATCGTAATAAATAAAGAGTTCTGCGTAAATATGTAGAGGAAAACCTCGCCGAATGCGGTTTTATTGGAGCGCATGTTTTGGCTCTACACGGTTTACTTTCATGATGTCTTGCATAATATCGCCCTTTGGGGTTAGATCGCATGGATATATAAATGTGTCGTTAAACCCGCCACCAGCCGACACAGCCAAGGGATGTCACGTAAGCAGAACGTGATAATTCGTCACTAGTACAGCACGCCGGTGTGTGTTGGAGAGCAAATCCACAACATTTACAATTTGAGTGCGATGTCTCGCCAGTAATTACAACTAACTTCATCAGGCGACAGCCAGATTTGTGGAGAAGTCCTCCTGTTACGTTCATTAAACCATTCGGTGGCCGGTTTAACGACACATTTATATATTTAGGCGATCTAACCCAAAAAACTATATTATGGATGATATTGGTCGCGAAAGCCTACGTGTTAAACATTCATGATGTTTGTTTTGCGGAACACGACGGCGTTGATGATGTGGCTATGCGAGGTTTGCCGCTGCTAACGTTGTTTGCTTAGAGACAGTTGTTAGTTGGACTTTGCGAGAGGCGAGTGCTGCATTCGTCGGAAGGAACCGAAGGGCGATTTAATCGACTCGACGATGACGACTTATTTGTCTTCCAGGTCGGTTCCTCCGTTTTGTGATGGTTCCGATTGACAAGAGCCTGCATTCGCGACATTTAAACAACGCGTCGGGGCCGGCCTGGTTTCCCCGACGTGATTTAGCGTGGAGCTTTTATTATTCTCGAGCGTTTTGCGCGGCCGATCTTTTTTCTATGAAACCCCATCAACACAACGGCAAAGTGACGCTTCTACCGTTGACCGCCCGTTTTTGTTTTCTGCGCGGCGTTGTAACGAGACGCTGCTCCAATACGCTCAGCAAAATATTCACGCGCATTGCCGTGTGCGTCCAGCCGTCCACTCGTTGAGGACGCTCGTCATGCGGACGTCCACAATAGCGAATCGTTCAAGTGACAGTGCTGGGAGCAAGCAGCAGGCTGGCAATTCAGTGTTAGGGGCCAGCGTCGGGCTGGCAATTCAGTGTTAGGGGCCAGCGTCGGGCATCAGTGCCGTGGTGCGGAAAGAGTGATGCAGACAGGGTTTTGTGTTGAGGTAAAGATAAAGAGTTCACACACACGAGAAATGGAGAGCGACTAAACAACCTTTAGTACAAGGACAAGGGCAGAAATTCTAGATTTGAAGCTTTCGTGACTGCAATGATTCTTAGGTTTTTTCGGTAAAGTCACGTAGGTAAAACATAGCAATCACCACAAATGCAACTCAATTTGTAGACTCCAGGATACTGTAAGTCAGGAACGATTCCATCTGTGAAGGATGTCGTTCCTGACTTACAGTATCCTGGAGTCTACAAATTGAGTTGCATTTGTGGTGATTGCTATGTTTTACCTACGTGACTTTACCGAAAAAACCTAAGAAGACAAGGGCAGAGCTTGTGTAGAATTAGGATGGATGGGAGTGAGTGATGATTTTTTACCCAGGAACTCAACCCTCCTTTTCCCATGAAGTTGATAATTCGTTGAATGCGGTTTTGCTCAACACGGCTTTTCTCCATCAACGTAAACCCCGCGCCTAGCGAGGTTGCCCTGTACTACACGTATCAGCGACCACTTTGCTAAATAATTTTTGGGAGTAATCGGCTTCATAATTTTCCCAGCTCACTGAAATATTTTCCCGACGTGCTATCGGGTCGTGCCCCTCGCATCTCGGCACGATGTCTGACGTTTTTGCTCCATGTGCTGGGCTCATGGCACAGCAGTTGTTATCATTATTACGACTATGTTTTTCTTTATTACGTTTATTACCATCCTCAGGAAGACGACGACGATGATGGTCCGACTGTACAGACCACAGGTGTTCACGTGAACAGTCCGACAATCGCTTGCTCACACCACTGCTGGCGGAAGGACCTCCACCAGAGGACACATGAGAGAGCGTTTGGCCTCCTCTTTCACGCCTGCCAAACGCTCGGCCGTTTTAGATGGTGCCACGGGTGTTTTGTGCGGGGAAAGCAATCGTGTCTTGTTGCGCTGTTGGCTAGATAAGGATACCATGATGTTGCGACAGTAAACTGGTTTTGTGTTGTGCGTTTTAACTTTTTTTCATTTTAATCGGAGAACGATCTCACGGAAAAAAATGAACGCGTTCCTGCCTCTCCTGTGTTATCGTTTCAGAGAATCGAACGTCAAAGCCGCCCACGCCCTCGACGAGCGCCCAGAAAAACACTCCCGAACAGTCCCCATTTAAACCACTTAAACCGATTCGCCAACTCTACAGAATAAAATAATCGCCACACCGCTCTGGCCCTGCCAATCTCATTCATCCAATTCGCTCACCCTCCGCCGTGGAGATGGCAGAGGCGAGAGGTGCGTGCGGAATGAAAACATCGCAAAGTCTTGGCAAAACAGAACGGGCCGCCGTCGATAAGATGCCCAACCCTTCCTCACGTGCCAGCAGAATCGGCGGGATGAGCCAAAATCAGCCCACCGGGCCAAATGGCACACGCGGCGCTCCTGGGCCCCGTGATCAAAAACCAGGGCGGCACCTTCTGATATGCGGAGGGGGCGGCTGTGGGGGCGGTGGCGGTGGCAGCAGGGACGGCTCCATTGCGGACGACGCCCCCGAGGACGTGGGAGGGGGGAGCGGAGTGAGCGGGGTGAGTGGGGGGCCCCGAGGGTCTCCGGAAGATTCGCCTCTCGGCACGTTTCTGCCATTCATCGCGATGGACTGCGTGCTGCTGCACATCGACGACGACGACGACGACGACCACCGCAGTGAGGACAGCGACGTTTGGCAGCCCGACCAAGGCCCTGACGCCGTCACGGAGCGGCGAGCGCCGAGCGCCGAGCTTTCCTCCGCCGCCAGCGAGCGGTCGGAGCGAGCCGGGTGCTGCCTGAACGGTGGGGGGGAGGAGGAGCAGGCAGAGGAGGAGGAGATGGCGGTAGAGGAGTTGGGAGAGGCCCGCGAGACGACGTGGGAAGCGGAAGAAAGCCAGCCGCCGGTCGCGGGGAGCGGCGGCAGCGGTGGCACCTCGAAGCGCCGGATGGATGGGGACAGCCTCCCCATTGTTTGCAGCGCGGAGAAGCTGGTGGAGCCTGCGGGAGATGGGGCCAGCGGCCCTGGCCGGCCAGCGACGGCAACGGTGGTGTCCAGCCAAGAGCCGCAGTCACCCCCTGCCACGGTCAGTGTGCGTGGATCTTCTTGCCGCTCGTGCGGTACCCGCAACAGTATTTGTAATCTCTGCAGTTGAAATGACAAAACGATATTTGTCTTCGTGTGGTTAAACGGAGTGGGGGGGGGGCATAGTGCACGCAGAGTGCACCTTGCCAATAACGTGTGTGGTAACACCCGGGTGCATTTGTTTAACAGGGTGATGAGACACAGATGGGTCGATACCTATCCGGAGGTTTGCTTTCTCCAACAAAAGTGGCTGGGTAATGTTGGCCACCAAAGCCACGATGCCGATGGAGCTAAAGATTTTTTAATTGAGTCCGATGTGGAGACGCAGTACGGGGTTCTCTTTTTCTATCCTGCTCAAGACAATGGAAGACGATGACATACTTACAAACGTGCAATGTCCATCGGATCGCATCGACTTATCATTAAATCACTCGTGCAGGGGTGGAGCGGTGGTGCAGTAGGGTAGCGCACCGCGCTGTGAACCGTGAACCCCGAGCGTCCGGCTGTTCAGCGGAACGCCCAAACGTCTTGGGATCGTTACACGAGGCATGCAAAGTTTTAGACAATTCATTGGAACAAACAACTCGCAACTTGGCTGACATATTGCCTTCGTCGCATGGGCTCGTTGTGAGTGGCCATAGACGCCGCAGCCTGCCTAGGTCGCGTACGGCCGCGATGTCACCGAGAGGTGGCCAATCACTCCGTCAAGCGAGGGCCGGCAGCCAGAGAGCTCTGTAAAGGTCACCTTTGACCCCCCCCCCCCATCCTAGCAAGAGTTCGTGTTTGGCTTTGGTAGCCGAGCCACCACGTTAACGAACCCACGAATTCTCCTTCGCCAGCACCACCGCCTGCGCTTGACCCCACGCCCCCCCTCTACGTCCCGCCCCCCGCGCCCCCCCCACACCCCCTCCCCGCATCCCCCCCCATGCCCCCCCCCACGCCCTCCCCCCCACGCCCTCCCCCCCACGCCCTCCCCCACGTGCCCCCTGTAAATCGATTTCAACCGTTCAGCGCCGTGACGGCTCTCCCAGTGAAACGAGCAGTCACAACGAGAAGTCCCATGATGTTGCTGCTCACCCCGAGCTCTCAATGTGGCATTGTATTTGTGCTGTTCGCCTTTTGGCATTCTCTGGTCTCACACTGTTTGAGACTAGGCTCTAAAGAAAGATGTCTCTGGTGTGGACCAGTTTCAAAGACAATGCATCATCATATGCTACCAGAGCATGTTTTTTTGTTTGCATGTTCACCAAAAGTACTGTGTGGTTAATGCAGACATGATTCCTTGCAAAATGTTTCTGCTTGGTGTTTTAACATCTTAACACCTCCTGTTTTATTGCCATGAAAGTAATTATTTCTTATTATAATCAATAGCGTTGGTGTGATGGGTGCTGTCTCTCGCTCAGCTCACTTCCCCGGCACGCGCTGAGCTGCGCTTGGCAGCGTCGTATTTTTTCGAGGACGGCGTTTCACGTCGCCAGCATGTGTTTGTCATTTGAACGGACGACTGCAGAAATTTGAGGAATCTCAAGATTCTTAAGAATCCTTGATGCCGAGCAGCCGGGGCTGAGACCCATCTGATCGCGGTGCCAGCGGCTCTACTCGGAACAAACGAGCGGACTCTACGTCTCGTTCGCATATCCGTCTCTCCGCAAATGAAATCTAGCGGCATTTTTTTGACACGACCTGTCGGCCACGAGGCCTCTCAAGGGAGTGCGTTCATGTTTTTGTTTTTTGTTTGTTGCGGTTGCACCCGATTCAAGAGCTGAATGGCTCACAGGGCTATACCTAATAAATAAACTTGAACTTGAACTCATTCTGGCAACATTGCTTCAGTGCAAGCGGAACTCTTAGACTGGTCTTTCGACAGACAGCATCCAACCAGCAGTCGAGCCAGCTTAAATCAATGCTGGGGCTCTGCCAGATGTCATATGCAAGGTCATTCTCAGTAAGTTATGGATCTTGCTCAAAGTAGCCTTGCGATCACCTCTATGTGAGTCTATGGGTCTCGGTGTGAGTCTGTGAGTCACCGTTTGAATCTATGAGTCTCTGTATGAGTCTATGAGTCTGTCTGTTGGTCATCGAGTGAGTCTCTGGGTCTTTGTGTGAGTTTTTTTTATCTCTCTGTGAGTATATGGGTCTCTATGGGTCACTGTGTGAGTCTATGGTTGCCAGCGGCCTCCCCCAGTCTCCACCCCCCAGTGGCCTCCGCCTGTGCGGTCGAGCCCTCCCCGCTCTGCGGTGTCGCCCCCCTGCCACTGCTACCGCTGCTTTCACCGTCTCTCCTCGGGTTGTCTCCCTCCACTTCTCTTCCCTTCTCCTGTCGACCTCCACCCATCCCGTTGCATGATTGGCATGCGGTGAATGACTCTTTATAGGCCTTGTGGGAGCGCCTTTACAGTGTTCAACAAGCCTTGTCGGTGTGACAGAACGATGACGGCTCTTGGCACGCTCTGCGAAGCTTACGCTGTTCTCTTCTCCTCTTGCGCACTATTGGCGGAAATCCGTACAGAAGCCAAGTGCCCATGTCGAGATCTGCTGGCCACGACGAGAGGGCTTTTGGAGAGAGTTCGTGTAGCTTTGCCACTCCTCCTCCGTCGAAGGACTCCCAGTGGGTTTACATTATGGTCCATAGTTTGCATCTCTGAGTCAGTGCCATATTAAGCTAGTGCAGAGCCTGTAGCATATGTTCTAAAGGGGTGATACATTAAACAAAACATGTATACAGGTAGTCCCCGACTTACGATGGAGATGCGTTAGACGACCCCATCGTAAGTCAAAAATATCGTAAGTCGAAAATGGCCTAGCCTACCCAGGAGCCTTAAAGAATGGTGATAATTTAGCAAAAGAGAGCAATTTACAGTACCGTACTGTATAAACTATATACTGTATGTATTTATTAATTACAATACTGTATTGCACAGTAAATTTTTAAGTAAAAAACAAGGTAAATTCTTAGCCTACCTTTGAGGAAACAATCCTATCTGCTATAAAAAAAACTTTTAACATGCATTGAACACCGAGAAAACTGAACTCCGTCGACCGCTGGTGAGAGTGAGAGGCATCACACAAGGCGGGAGATGCATTCAGAACATCCCGGTAGTGTCCCAACGTTCAGAATTGTACCTCGTACGCTGCTGCGTTTGCCTGCCGCGCGAAATATAAAATATTTTACAATTTTGTCATATCGTTATCGCCATCGTAAGATCGAAATATCGTAAGTCGGACCATCGTAAGTCGGAGACTGCTTGTATATTAAAACACACATTTTTTACTTGCATAGGAAAGTAATTGTATTTTTTCATTTGCTATACAGCCAGATAATACGACAAATCGCTCACCTTAAACACCCAGTCATTCGTAAAAGTTGAAGGCAGTATAGTACTATAGTAGTAGAACAAGTGCAGAATCACTGAACCGGGATTTATAGCTTCAAAGCATTTAGCGTGGGGCCTGTAGCATATGTCGCTACTTTTGCTACTAGGATAATCCGGTATTTCTCTGAGTCTCTATCAGTTTCTATAGGCGCATCGGTCTGTCGTAGAAGTTTTGATGTGGGATCATGGCTACACCACCGGTGTCTTTGAGGAGGAATGTCAAAACCATTCAGTTATTCACAGGCTGCTGACGTTGATGTTGTTATTTTTATGTGGTTGATGTGGTTGATGTCGTTGTTGTTGTTCTGATGTCGTTGTTGTAATTTTTCTGATGTGGTTGATGTCATTGTTGTTATTGTTCTGATGTGGTTGATGTCATTGTTGTTGTTGTTCTGATGTGGTTGATTTTCTTGTTATTCTGATGCGCTTGACATTGGGTGCGAGGCGGTAGCCTTCTCGCGATGGCTCCACCTCGTCACGTCTTTTCGCGTTACCTTCACATCATTCGGGCGCAGCGGACGTCGTTAACCGGAATCCAGGGTGTGGTGAGAAGCGGAGCCTTGAGCAGCGAGGCTGCACCACACCGAGGATCCCCACTATGGGTGAATTTAGCCTGATGTGTCTGCCGTTCCTGTATAAAACTAAAACGACCACGGCGTCGTACTTGCCAGGCCCCTTCAGAGTTTAAGCGACAGGATGGTGAGTTTTAAACTCTTCTACCATGTAAGGCACTCCTCGACCTACGAACGCCCGCACTTACGAACGCCCGCACTTACGAACGCCCGCACTTAAGAACGCCCGCACTTAAGAACGCCCTCACTTACGAACGCCCTCACTTACGAACGCCCTCACTTACGAACGCCCGCACTTAAGAACGCCCGCACTTAAGAACGCCCTCACTTACGAACGCCCTCACTTAAGAACGCCCTCACTTACGAACGCCCTCACTTACGAACGCCCTCACTTAAGAACGCCCGCACTTAAGAACGCCCTCACTTATGAACGCCCGCACTTACGAACGCCCTCACTTAAGAACGCCCGCACTTACGAACGCCCTCACTTACGAACGCCCGCACTTAAGAACGCCCTCACTTACGAACGCCCTCACTTACGAACGCCCGCACTTAAGAACGCCCTCACTTAAGAACGCCCTCACTTAAGAACGCCCGCACTTACGAACGCCCGCACTTACGAACGCCCTCACTTACGAACGCCCTCACTTACGAACGCCCGCACTTACGAACGCCCTCACTTACGAACGCCCGCACTTACGAACGCCCGCACTTACGAACGCCCTCACTTACGAACGCCCGCACTTAAAAACGCCCTCACTTACGAATGCCCGCACTTACGAATGTCCGCACTCATGAACGCCCGTACTTACAAACGCCCACACTTAAGAACGCCCGCACTCATGAAATATGAATTTGTTTAACGTCGACTTAGAACGCAAACTCGCGCTTGCAAACTGAACTGCGAGAAAATTTTGTTCAGCAGAGCGATCCTCCGTGAGATGTAATGAGTCAGCCTTGCGCGGGGGAGTAAGTGTTTGTGTGTGCATGGGTGAGAGTGCACATGCGAGTGTGTGTGTGCTTGCATGCATGTCCCCGTGTGTGTGTATGTGTGT